CCAACCAACTATAACCAAACCTGCTAATATAGCATCCTTACAGTGACAAATTGTTCATAGATGTCTCCTCACAAATGATTGGATTATTGATAGGACATTTTTGGAACAGAAGGGATTAGCCTTTCCATGGTGCAAACTATGTAAATCAGCGTAACGGTTTCCCTCTAAACTTATTCCAGAAACAATTGAGCATATTTTCCTGCAATGTCCAGGGGCGATCTGACTGTGAAGATGGTGGGTTAGGATTTGGAACCAGCTGGGTACATCCCAGGCGTGGCCATGGGACTGGAAGACCCTTCTTCTGGATTGTTGGCATCCCGACCAAGAGGAAGAGTTTACTACTAATCTATTCTCAATAAGTAGAAAAACCATTATCTGGGCAATTTGGACAAGAAGATGCACCTTTGGAATGGAGGGTGCCCGATTGGATGGACCAGACTTTACAGATTCTATCAAACAACATATTCAAACAATAATCTCGGCTAAGTGGCAACAACTTAAAGAAAAGCTTCTTCACTTTTACTTACGAAATGATATTTGGCATCAAATCAACCTCTTTAATAAATGCTGGCTGGGCGGGGACCAGGGAGGGAGGCTGGGAAAAGTAATTTGGGAGGAAGGACACACTAATTCTCAGGAGCCCATCAAGAGGAATTATCGGCTGATTTTTCATGATTGGAGTTCTGTTGACCCCTCTATCCCCCTCAGTCCTGTCTCTGCGTTTCCGGACTTCTTTCCCCCTCCAAGTAATTGTTTAATCCATGCCTCTTGGTATGGGTAATCCCTTGTACAGTCCTTGAGAGAAAGGTTCAGGAAACGGATGAGGATAGATGCTTGGTTTGCAAGTTCTTTCTGGCGCCCATGATGGGTGAAGAGGCATTATACTCTTCAGTTTTAGACTGGGATGGATGGGGGCTCGGGTTGGTTTTCGTTGATCAATGCTACTCTTATGATATTGTTCTCAAAGGGACGCTGGACCCGCTTTCCAKCAGGTGCTGCTCCCCACCAATAGATTGGAGGTTAAAAAAAAAAAAAAAAAAAGGTAAGGGTGTTTGAACACATGGATCTTAATGACTCACTGAAATGCACAGCCTTTGCAGGGGCTAAACCGCTCGCACTACTGAAGATAGACCCAACAATGTGGGAGTGGAGAGCTAAAGGCCACAGAGGTCAAAACGTGTCGTTGTCTAATTACTCTCTCCAACTGGGTTACACACTCAACCCCCCTCTAAAACAGCCGCTGGCAGTCGGTAGAAACCGGTGGGCCCAGCTGATGGAGATGGATCTCGAAAGTATTGAAACTAACCTGCTGCGCTGTTGGAAGCAACTCAAAGAACTGGCCAGCCAAAGACACGCCTCGATATTGCTAGTCTCTCTGGTGGCAACACCATCGGCGGTATGGCTTGCCGAACATGGTGTAACGGTAGATATGTGCTGCAAACGCTGCCAGTGGGCTTTTGAATCAATGGTGCATTTGTGGTGGGACGGTCCGGCTTCAAGCCGTATCTGGCATTGGATCATCAAACAATGGGACCGTATCTCATGTTCCCCTTTTCAATGGTCCAAAATATGGACCTTGCTAGGGGGTGTCCCCGATCATTTGTGTATCTCTAAGGGATGGGGATACGTAGCCCAATCCATGAGGGCACTGGGCTTCTATGTGATTTGGTCGAGCAGAAATAGCTATGTCTTTGAGGGTCAGGAATGGTCTAACAAGCAGATTGGGTCAACCTTCGTCTCACAATTGAGATTAGCTATGCAGGCGGATTGGAGGAGAAAGGTGGAGAAATCACCTCAGACAGGCGTGACTTGGTTCAGACAGACATGGTGCCTTCACAGCACCCTGGCTACTGTTGTTGATGGTAAGTTAGTTTTGGACCCCTGGTTATTTTCTGCTTAGTTTAGAAGGAGGTACCCGGTCACTCGGTTATCTCAGCCGCAGTTGGCTGGCAGAGGGAATAATAGGCGGAGGGAGTGTACCTGGTTTTGTCGTTTGGGTGCTTTGCTCCCCACCGTACTTAGGTGGTTTTAGGGTACTGGCTAGGATGCTTTTGAGTAGGATTTAGTCTCAGGCGTGACTTGAGTTCGGTTTTTGAGGCTCTGGTGGCCATTTTCTTGAGTTGGTATGTTGGGTTGTGTTCGGTTTTTTGAGGCTCTGGGGGCCATTTTTTTTGAGTTGCTATGTTGGGTTGTGTTCGGCTTTTGAGGCCTTGGTGGCTTTCTTTTTTTTCCCAGGGTTGGGATGACCCGGAGGAGTCAGTGCAGCGGTTCGGATTTGACCAGTCTGCTTCTAGACCATAATATCCCAAGGCCTGCACCTAAGCTGGGTAATGGTCCCAGTGCTGTTTCTGTCCTCTTTGCATTCCGGGTTGTTTGTTGAGGAATTTCCGGCCTCTTTTTTTTGGTGTGGTAATAAAAAAAAAAGAAAAAAAAAAAGAAGAATACTTTTTATTCTGTTCATACGATTCTACCTGGATTCGAACTTCAGTCTGTATTTACCGACACGGCTAGGCCTGTTTGGTGCATCCTCTCTCTTCTCACTTCCCGAGGTCTCCTTGCCTTTGGTCTGTCCGTGCAGTAGTCCCTCAGCTTACGAGGAAAGAGAGGAGAAGAAGCGGGAAAGAGGGAG